ACCTCCAAATTTTAGGAATAAGGGGCAAAAAAGGGGCAAAAAACAAGCATTTTTCTAGTTTCATGACAATAACTTGTGTTCAAGTGTATGGATCTCTCTGAAATTGTACTGCAAGGTACCATACCACAAAGGGAAGGCTGGGATTGATTTTGGGGGTAATTCCCTCAAAATTTTAGGAATTAGGGGCCATAAAAGGGCAAAAAAACAAGCATTTTTCTAGTTTCAGGACAATAACTTGTGTGTAAGTGTATGGATCTTTCTGAAATTGTACTACAATGTTCCATATCATAAAGGGAAAGCTGGGTTTGAGTTTGGGGGTAATTACTCTAAACGTTTAGGAATTTGGGGCCAAAAAACACGCATTTTTTTAGTTTACAGACAATAACTTGTGTTCAAGTGTATGGATCTCTCTGAAATTGTACTGCAGGTACCATACCACAAAGGGAAGGCTGGGATTGAGTTTAGGGGTGATGATTCATAAGGGGGTTCAAAAAATTTGGGGGAGGGGGGGGGTTTTCTTTAAAATTTTCCATTTTAAATTGGTTATTTCTGATTTATATATAAAAGCAAATAATAGTGATATGGTTTGAATAGGTAAATTAATTTTTTTTAAGTTCTTAGACCACATTCATTCTGTGTCAGAAACCTGTGCCGTGTCAAATATTTAATCACAATCCAAATTCAATGCTGTATCCATACTTGCCCCAACTGTTTAGGGTTCGACGTCTGCGGTCGTATCAAGCTGCGCCCAGCAAAGCATTTTGTTATTATACATTGTGACTTGGATGGAGAGTTTGTCTCATTCTCACTCAAACCACATCTTCTTATTTATATGTAGGTGAGTTTGGTTTTGTCAGGAACCCAACTCTTATATGTAAGAAGAATTAAAAAGAAGCATCGAAGAAGAGGTGGCATTTTCTAAAGATGTTCGTTCTACATGTTCTAAGTGTTTTTGGTATCTTACTTACTCATGGGTCATAATTTATGATGACTTATAAATATCAGTTAATCTTGCAGCTCGTTTCATTTTGTATAATCTTTTTTGCATTGAAAATCATCAAAGTTTAGCTGTAACCATGCAGGGACCTTACATTAGGTCCCTGCTGTAACACAGTGACAGTGTGTGTTAAGCCAACAATCTGTCAAGTAAGTGCATGTATTTGTTTGATCACAGTCACAGGGCCTGTCAGTGTCAGGGTTTAAGCTTGTTATTGTTTGCCTTGAAGTTGTTTACTATCTATATGAAGCCCATAGTAGACTCTAGTTCTCTCTAGTCGACTCTGTTCAGTATCACCGACACGTTCAACATTAATATTTCCTAGTTCTGACGAATTTAAGAGTTGAAACCACTTGGTGATACTATGTAAACTTGTCCGGTGAAAAAAACAAGGGACATAATAAAGGAAACGATAATGTGTAAGCAAGAAACGATTTCGGGGCAAAAATCCGGGTTTCCGAGCAAAAAAACCCAATCTTCAAAATAGGTACAAAAAAATGTTCATTTACCGATTTTCACAAACGAGGGCACATTTTAAAGCGGAAACACTCAGTTTTTAGAATATAGCAATCTTAAGGTGTCTCTCGAAACTTTCTCGCTTCGACTTTTCACATAAAGGAAAAAATGATAATTTTTTAGCTTGAAAATTTACACTGAAAAACTTGATTATTGTCGTATTATTCAATCGATCTGCCCTTTTTGGTCAAATAAATTAAAGAACAGCAATAACTTGTTTTGAATACCATCTGGAAACTTCGATATTTTGAAAATTATCATTGAAATTTAATGAAAACGGTCTTTCAAAAATGACACCAAAATTGGCCGCCATTGCAACTTGTCTGACAGACACTTATGATTAGGATATTCCTACTCAGAGGCTTCCGGTTGTCCGACTGAATAGCGATAAGGTGTATTAAGTAATGACAAAACTACACAAAATGTATATCAAGTCAATACGATACCATATCATGTAATATCGAAATATCATAATGTAATGACTATTCCATATTGAGTTATATCAAAACATCATTACGTAATGTTAAAACCATATTATGTAAAGACAAACTATCATCAAGTAATAACATAACAACATAACGTAATATCAGAGTTCCACATAAGACAGCTGTGGCGTTCCATATTGTAGCATCCTGCATGTTTAATTATGAAGCTATGATGCTGTAAATCTTGGTATAAATTGGAGATTAGAATGACCATACTGATACAAAATGTCAAGGGAAATTGGCCCTACATCTAAAATAACTGCATTTGGATTATTTAACATTCGCTGCTGAAAATATTCATTATTTCAATAATGTGTCACATTAGATGTCATTATGACATCATATTATGTATATGTTCACATTGAAATTACAATGAAATTAACCTACAAAATAGCATTTTAAATAATTTGAGAATACTTATACTTACAATTGTTGATATGAAAATAAGGAGATGTGGTATGATTTCCAATGAGACAACTATCCACCAAAGTTCAAATTAAGTGGATGTAAGTTATATATTAGGGTCTTGATACTATAGTATACCTCCTTAATGGTAAAAAACGAACCACTCTGAAAAAAATATTTGACAATTCCAATGCATATATCCGGCTGAGGTCCTGCAAAACGACTCAGCAGCAGAGTTGCTGTACATTATTATCAGTGGATGTTTCGATCTTGGAATAGTACCATCGGAGTGGAATAGAAGCGTCATTAATCCTATATTAAAACCAAATTCAGATGATGACTAGAAACCATTGAACTATAGAGGAATAACGTTGATATCGGTTCCGTGTAAAATTTATTGCATCATACTGAATGCAAGGCTCACGAAATGGCTAGAAGATAACGACTATTTATGTGAAGAGCAAAACGGTTTTCGGAATGGTCGAAGTTGCGAAGAACACATTCATTCACTCTACCAGACTTTAAACGACAGAAAAATTTCTCGGAAATCAACATTTGCATGCTTCATTGATATGAAAAAAAGCATTCGATACATTCAATCGAACATTATTATGTTATAAGTTACGAAAAATTGGAATAGGTGGAAAGTTTCTTAGTGCTGTACAATCCCTCTATGATAACGTCGAATGTACCGTTCGTGTGAATAACGATTTGACTCCATGGTTTGACGTGACGAGTGGCGTGAAACAAGGAACCTTTTGTCACCATCTTTATTTTCAATATACATTAACGACCTCGCGGAGCGTATTAACGCTTTAAATTGTGGAGTACTAATAGACGATTGCCAGATGAGTATATTACTGTACGCAGATGACATCGTATTACTTGCGCCGGATGAACCCCGTTTACAGAACATGCTTGATATTGTAATGGAATGGTGCGAAGCCTGGAAATTGTCGCTAAACGATAATAAGACGAAAATAGTTCACTTCCGACCACCTTCGATAGACATTTCGCAAAGTACGTTTACATGTGGCGGACATACTTTACTTTTTAGCGACTCATATACATACCTTGGTGTATGGTTGGATAAACACTTAACGTTCCAGAAAAATGCCAAAGAACCCTCTAAAGCCGCCAGCCGTGCTCTTGGTGTAGTATGTGGAAAAGTAATATCAGCTAGAGGTATGACCTATTCTGTATTTACTAAGCTATACAACACAATGGTAAAAACAGTTCTTCTATACGGAAGTGGTGTTTGGGGATATAAGGACTATAATTGCGTCTCATCCGTCCAAACTCGAGCATGTAAATTCTTTCTGAATGTTGGAAAACACACATCGAACCTATCTTCAAGAGGTGATATGGGTTGGACATCATGCAAAATTAAACTACAGAAATCGTGTCTTCAGCTATTGTGTAAACTTCACGGACTTAAAAACAATCGACTCCCAAGTAAAGTTTGGCGTTGGGCGGCACGACGACGAAAAGGTTGGACTTTCGAAGTAAACGAACTTGTGACTAAACTTGATGTATGTGAACTTATAAGTGACACATCTTTATCCACAAAATACGCTATGAAAATAATTAATGAAAAACTAGAACAAATAGACAATTATTAATGGTGTGAAGACATTTTCAACGACCGTGGTACATTAAACGGAAACAAACTCCGTACATACAGACTCTACAAACAAACTGTAAGCGTTGAGCCATATGTAAAAATGAACATTCCACTTAACCAAAAGGAGATATATGGCCATGATTCGCGCCGGCTCGTTGCCTCTGGCCTTGGAGACGGGTCGCTACTCCAGGCCGCAAGTTCCAATTGAAGATAGACAATGTATATATTGCGATCTCGAACATGTAGAGACAGAAAAACATTTTCTGATGGAATGCCCTTTATATGCAGACCTACGATATGATTTATTTTGTGAATGTAAACACTTAATTGAGAATTTTGATACAAATTGAATGCATATGGACGGTAAGTTTATATTTGAATGAGATCCGAGCAAATTCAGAAATGTCTATGTAAAATTTTACAAAAATGTTTTATGAGAAGAAAATTATTTACATTCGATTGAAGATATACAAAGTTTTATTTTGATAGCCTAGTCTTTGTCTAAGTTTTAAACGTTGAGCATTTTTTCAAATCTTTAAAACAAGGTATTTCTATTCAATTTAGATATATATTTATTTCTGTTTTAGAAGTCAACAGTAACTGATAACTTTTTTAAAAAGAATTTCTTATAGTGTTTTTTTTTTAATAACATTTTATATTTGATAGTATTTTTGAAAGCCATTTTTAAATCAAATTAATTAGATTTTTAACTTTAGAAATATTTTACAAATTAACATGCAGTTTATTGTATATATGTACATGTCTGTTTTTAAAGTGTCTCATAAGTCAACTGTTTGGCTGGGCATTGATTGCATTTTAAAGATATTACTTTAATCTATTTGTATATTTGTACTGTATCAATCAATAAGTGACACTCAAATGAAATAGATTTTTTGTTTGTTTTATTATTTATTTATATCTATTTGTCCTACTGTAAGGTGATTCTTATTCTAACTGCACTTTTAATCGTGATCAATGGCATTTAAGTTTACATCTGTCACAATTTGATGGTGTCTATCATTTTTGTCTTTGATTACGATAAGCATATTCAGTCAACATATTAAGTGAAAACACTGCAGGAAAAAGGACAGCGGTCTGAAAAGGTAAGTGTTTTATTTTAACTTCTTATATCTCTAATTATTGATATCATATTAAACTTTTCCTAAGATATAAAAAAAACAAAAACAAATCAAATGTGCAATTTTTTTTATTTGTAAATTTAATTATTAGTACATTAAGATTGTTTTATTAAATTTATATATAAATTGTCCTGAACATGCATGGAAATTTGCCACTGGACGTTAAGCAACCAACAATCAATTGAATTTATATTCTACTGTTATTGGTGCTTAGGTCATCTGGACTTTTCTCATCAACCAGTTAAAACCATCATAAAGAGTGTCGATACTCGTTCGGTTTTTTGAAACGGACATATACATAACTGACAAGATCGGTCGGGAATAAGATGTTGAACCTGATCTCTTCTGAATAACATGATTTATATATGAACTAGACCTATGTCGGTCACCTAGGTCTATGTTCATCTTCAACAATGGACCCTCTCCAACGTAGTAGATTGTACTAGAATTACAGACACAAATCTCTTTTTTGTCGATTTTGTATTTTTGATCATTTTTTTCCAGTTTCTTTCTATCTTATTTAGTTTTTGTCCAAAACAGAAAACTAGAGGCTCTAAAGAGCCTGTGTCGCTCACCTGCATCTTCAACAATGGCCACTTTTTAGTAAAAAATCACCATTAAAGGGGAATAACTTTTTAAAGAGATAACTGACAATTTCAGTCATGTTGACATATTTGTAGATCTTATCCAGCTGATAATTTTCCTTGTTAAAGTTTCTATTTGTCTATTATAGTTTTCAAGATAATAGGCAAAAAATGCATAGCAAAATGTTTGAAATTATCATTAAAGGGCAATAACTCCAATAAAGAGTCGACTGCAGATTTCGGCCATCATGGCTTATTTGTAGATCGTGTCTTGCTGATCATTTTTGCTATATAAAGTTTATATCTATATAATATAGTTTTTAAGACATTAAAACGCAAAAAAAATGGTAAAAATCGTTATTATTATAGGACAATAACTCAAATAAGGAGTCGTCTGAAGATTTCAGCCATGTTAACGTGTTTGTAGATCTTGTCTTGGTGATCATTTTCCTTAGTTAAAGTTTCTGTCTATCTATTATAATTTTCGAGATAATAGGCAATTTCTTTTTAAATGGTAAAATTCATTTTTAAAGGGCAATAACTCCTATAAGACAACAGTTTTAAGGGCAGTTTTGATGTGCACGAATAATAGGTAGAACTCAACATTCTGTGCATTTTTGTCCCTGTCAGATTTTTCCTTTTTATAGCGGTTTTCAAAATATTAGGCATAACTTCCATTTTACCCTTGTATGTTCTATTTTAGCCATGTCGACCATCTTGGTTGGCTTGCGGGGTCATCTGACAAATTTTTAAAACTAGATGCATGTACCCCAATAGTGATTGTGGTCAAATTTGATTAAATTTGGCCCAGTAGTTTCAGATGAGAAGATTTTTGTAAAAGTTTACAGACGAGGACGACGGACGCCAAGTGATGAGAAAAGCTCACGTGGCCTTTTAGGCCACGTGAGCTAAAAAGGGGTTAACAAATCGTCATTCAAGATTAACCACTCCTAAAAGAAATAATTAACGATTTCAGCAAAATTTGACTTATTTGTGAATCTTTTCTTGATGATCATTTTTGTCTATCTTTTATACTTTTCAAGATATTTCTTTTAGGAGTTGATTGACGATTTTGGCTACATTAACTTATTTGTAGGTTTTCTCTTGCTGATGTTGTCAAGATAATAAGCTTAACCCTAATAATTTGTAAAATTCTGTATAAAAGGGCGATTACTCCTATAAAGAGTCGACTAACGATGTTGGCCTTCCTGACTTATTTGAAGAGATGGTCTTGTTGATCAGTTCTTTTTTTAAAGTGTCTATCTATCTACCTATTATAGGTTTTACGATATAAGACGAAAACGCAAAAAATCGTCATTAAAGGTCAATTTTAATAAGGAGTCGTCTGACGAATTCGGCCATCTTGACTTATTTGTACACTTTGTCTTGTTAATCTTTTTCGCTTATTAAAGTTTCTCTCTATCTATTATTGTTTAAAAAAAAAAAGAAGGCAAAAATGAAAAAAAAATAGTAAAATTCGTCACTTAAGGGTACTAATAATAACTCCTTAAGAAGTCGTCTGATACTTTTGCGTAAATAGTTAGTACGTAGATCTATACATTTTGAACATTTCTTCCTCAATAGTTTTTCTCTATCTATAGCGGTTTTCAAGATAATAGACACAATTGGCATTTCACCCCTATCTTCTATTTTTTGCCATGTTGGCCATATAAGTTGATTGGCTGTCTGGGTCGCCGGAAACAATTGTAAATGTAGATGTACAAAGGATAATTGTGGCAGATGTACAAAGGATAAGTGTGGCTTAGTTCCAGTAGTTTCAGAGGAAAGGAATGTTGTAAAAATTGACGATAGATTAGAACGGAGGACGACGGAATCCAAGGGGTGAGAATAGCGCCCTTTGTCCAAAGCAGGAGCGCAAAAAAAATAGATGTAGCAATTTCGAGTACATAATAAATAAGATGGAGTTGAATTTGTGTTTCTGTCTGCAAAAGAACCATTGCAATACCATCATAGGGGGTATGTGTGAGCTGTAACAAGACCAATTTTTTGGACAATCTGATATATCCTTTTCTTTCAGTTAAAGTCTAGATTGTCCGCCTCTCGTTCCAGTAAGTTAATTTTCAGAACCTACCTACATTATTTGTTCATTTGTTCTCGTCCCGAATATGTAGGAAATATTTTCACAACATTAAGCTAATACTGACCAATCAATTATTGTTACAGTAGCTTTTGCAATTTACATGGTGGATGATTGTGGTGTAAATAAAATTTTAGCACTGAAATACAAAAAAAAGTTCTTAGTCTTGACAAATTGTGTATAAATAGGACAGGAGGAAGTTAAAATCTGCCCAAAGTGCACCCAAAGACAACTATTGACAACACATGACTTCACAGTACCTGATCACGAGCTGTCTGTTCGTTTTTTGTTTGTATTTTGTCGTTGAGTTGCTGTCTTAGACCCCGTTCACACTAGCATTTTTTTTAATCGATCTAAATTGAATCGATCTATATAAAACCAGAAAGCGTTCACATTATCTTTAATCATAACGATCTCCTTCGGTCTAATCAAAACCACTGCGTTCACACTACAATTAAAAAGGCAATCGATCTGACCTAATTACTCGTAAAACTGTAATATTGTTTATAATTAGAAATAATTAATCAAATTAATGTGTTGATACATTGATACAAACACTAGAAAAAAATGGATGAAGTTAGTGTTTCTCTTGAATCACAAGTTCAAATTTTGATACTGGTGTTCTTGCAGTTTTCTTTAATTTTGAAACAAAAAACTATAGCAAGGAAGTTACAACAGGAAGACATACTGCGGTTCCTGAAAAGAAAAAATCAACAGAAGAAAAGAAGACACAGACTTCGCAAAATTGCTACGGCAAAGACACCATTTTTTCAGTTCCTTTTTACTTGCATGTACACAAAGGTCTGTTAACAGTGACATATGGGTTAAACAACGAACTACCGATACAAACAAGGATGTGTAGTTTTGTCGCTATACATGCGCATAAATTATTTTCGATTTAATCGTACTAGTTTAAACTGATCTCTGTGTTCACATTTAAAGTCAGATCGGTTCACTTTAGATCGATTCAAACTAAACTACCTCTTTTGGTGTTTTAGTATAGACCGATTGAAGATCGATTCAAAGCGTTCACATTGGCCCTTAAATCGATCTAAAGTGAACCGATCTAGTTTAAATCGATCTAAATGTCTTAGTGTGAACGGGGTCTAACTGACGATTACGCCTCATTTCCTTTTATTCTTATTTTATTCAATGTTAACTGTAACTTTCATCCGTTAAACTGTAATATATTGTGTATTTGCAAAGTATAATACTGCATTCCATGCACAAAATCTGTGTTTAAGGTAGTAATTTTTATCATATACTAGCGAGACAAAATAGCGTGAAACTAAAAAAATATTGCATTCTTTAAAATTGGAGCATTTATTTAAAGTGATAGTCTATATATTATATTCTATAATAGTTCAACAACCGGAACTTGTAAAAATGATATATGTTTTGTATGTTTAGTGGTAGTCTATATATTATATTCTATAATAATAGTTCAACAACCGGAACTTGTAAAAAATGATATATGTTTTATATTATATTCTATAATAGTTCAACAACTGTAACTTGTAAAAAATGATATATGTTGTGTATGTACTACGTGAATGCAATCTGTCTTTGTATTGGTTAGTACAGCAGTCATTGGTTGATACAAGATTCGAGGAAATTGGGAACATAATTGTCTGTATTAGCAAAAATGTAGATGAGCATAGCGAGGTTAATTTGATTTGACGAGTCCATGCCTAAATATGATACTTTTCCGATCAAAAGTGGGACATACACACTCTGTGCCCCCCATATTTGTTAGATTACCTTTCTGATATGATCATAAAATGTAAAATAAAAACACGTGTAAAAGCCTTATAAATAATATTAACTGCAAGAGTGAGTATATGTATATGTTTGACTTTCCCGCAGTTCTGTCTCAAGAATACATGATTAAACTTTCAATTGTCAGAAAAATATGGTAACGTACGTAGTCGTTATTTCAGCATGTCTTTGGAAAATATGAAATACACTTTTTATCGTTTTCAACCAATATCCCTGCTTTTATAGCATGATGATGTCGGGAGAACGGAATAAATTTGAACTTTTTTTTGTACTCAACTCAACAACTACAATTTAGATCCCCGAAAATACCCAGAAAGATTGCACATATGTAAAAGATGTGCACCTGATATTATAGAACGTTTAAAGGAGTTGGTTCCCATTGTCCTTACTTGGGATTTTAGTCATTTTCAGCAAACATTTACAGATTAAGACTGTTCCAGTTTTGTATAATCAAACACTTCAGACCCACTTTCAACCAACGTCCCTTAAACTACACAGTAAGGATGTACATGTGTTGATATTGTGCACCAGATACATTTTTGTACATTGAAACTGTTTGCTGAATTTTGTCATATTTTCCAGACTTGGTTACTTAATAGTCATTTTTTTACAAAAAAAAAATAAATGATGGTAACAATTTTAGTTTGTAACCCAGATCTTTAGAACTACCCAGAAAACATGAACCTAATAAAATATTGAGGTTGTGCTCTTTGCATTAGGGAACTGTGTAAAGATTTTGTTCATATTTTCCGTATTTGTCTTTATCCATATACGTGTATTTACATGTATTACAAACAATTCACCATTGTTTAAGACACAATCTTCACAACAAAGCCATATACGTTGTTGATCCATTTTCTTGATTAAACTTAGGAACAAGAAATGCAAGATGCAAAATCCTACATCATATAATGTACAAATGTCATACAAGTGGAAGGTTTAGCTAGCTTTAAAACCAGGTTTAACCAATCATTCTCTTTGGAAATACCTGTACCACGTCAAGAATATGACGGTTGTTTTCCATTCGTGCCGTTAGTTGATGTAGTCTAACGTTTGATTTCATTAAGTTTTATTGACTAAAACCTTTTTGAATTTACTTTGAAGTTCGGTTTTCTTGTGAATGAATGAATGATCTTTATTCTTATAAACCATATACAAAGTTACAGAGCAGATAACTTTATGATAGTCACGTAGATATTTCTGTTGGAAACAAAATGTGTGTTAATACTTGTGTATATAGAAAGCAGAAACGGATGTTTACTTCTTTTGTAGATGATCCGACTTCCGCCTATGTTCTTCATGGCGTTACAAGCCGTATTAACAAACTATGTTACCCAGCTTGGCAATGATCGTCCATTACATCGACCACTCTGTCCATCGTATGATTATATAATAGGTAAATTATTAAAATGTCGGATTACTGTTGAAGAGGCTGTGACAAGGCCACGTATTGCCCCTTGAATTTGAAAATCAAAAACTTATAATACACTTCGTATGTTGCTGTTAAGACATTAATCTAGTAGTTATACGGTCCAACGATTTACAGAAAAGAGCGACGATTTACAGAAAAGAACAGAAAAGGACCGAAAAGGACCAAAAAGAACAGGAAAAAAAACGAAAAAGAACCAAAAAGAGCATACATATATTTATTTCATATTTATATACACACGAAATTTTGATATTGTTAATAATTCCTCGTAATAAATGAACGCATAACTGTAACTTAGATTGTACATTTTATAGGGATATGTGGACACACAAAAAAAAAAGACAGTATTATAACTTGGTTTTCAGTAAAAAAAAAATTTATATATGTACAAGTAATCATTTGCACACTGTATAATATAAATCACTCCTGTTATACACCATAAAACAAAATGTGCCTTTTGATGAACACATCAAAGACTTTTATTCGCATAGTATCGAAATACAATAAGCATTTTAATAAAATAATGTTGTTGTTTTTAAATAAAACTAGCAATTAGTCTTTGAATTTAAAATAAAATGAAGGAATTAACAACCTGTGACCAAGAGACTGTACTATTCATGTAAGTCCCAGATGCGACTAATTGTCATTAAATAAATAAACTGTAAACTTGATTTTTGACTATTAAATAAACTGTAAACTTGATTTTTTACTATTGAAAAGTATTATAGATTTGAAGAAAATGTTTGCGGCAATAGATCAGCCATATACGACCAACAAATATGTTAAGATAACTTAATTGGAAATCAACTCCTTAACATTAATTGTCCTTAAATATTGATTTTTCTCCCTTTCTGCGTTTTTCGTTTTATTTTAAAACTATAAAAGTGTGGACACAGATCAGCGTGGATAGTATATTTGGATGTTTGACAGTGTTTTCTGACAAAAATAGTTCTCTGTTTTTCCCATTGGGTTCTATGTTAAACTGTGTTGTACAGTGATAGCCAACCTGTACCAAACACTAAAAATTAGCAGTGTCGTTTATTTAATATTTAGTTTTAATGTTCAAGACTCTCATGGAGGAGACACTAATTGCATGGATTACCAACGATTCTAATAAAATATGTTCCACAACTTTGATTTTGGATATTGCAGCAAAACTCATAATTAGGAGAGAAACACATTAGGTCATTTCTGCATGATGTGATTTTAATATACGAGATGGTATCTGACAACCTGCATGCATGTACTATGTGTATGGTTCTATTTATGTTCCTTTGTGGTGGTCATTTCTTACTTGGGTTTGACCACAAAAACTGTAAATTAGTTATGGATCTTCCCAGTATCATTAGTAAAAGATTTCGTTTAAATGTCGAAATTGTTTCTTAGAAGATATCTAATGTTTTTTTTTATATCCAATGGTTTTAAGTAATGACAATACTTGGCATGACGCTTAAGGCTAGATGAGCTAGAAAGTACACTTCTGTGTTATTTTAGTTCTTTCTTCGAAAATGTCTTCTCCAAGGCCTGGTCGAAGTTTAAAAATTAAAATTGGACCAGTATGATAAATTATCATTTATATTTTTTATCAAGGATTTTAATCTTATTATTAAAATATTTGTTCATATGCATATTATATTTTTTAAATAGCAATAACTTGTGCATGGAGATTATTAACAAATAAAACAACCTGTGCGCAATTTAATGTAATTATATGTATATATATGTAAATAGTTCGTCTATATATTTATAAGTTAAATGAGAAAGGGGGCCAGAGAGATAGTAAGACGCATGCAGTAGAAAGAGAAATTAAACAAGAGATCTAAGGAGAATGAAAAAAGTGAGGAAATGCACATGGAGATAGAAAATTGATTAAGTCTATACAGATTGGAGAGGCAAAAAAACTACCAGATTGGGAAAGGGAAGAGAAAGCGGATGAAAGATGCAGTCGATATTGTTAAATACTTAAATAGATATAACATATAAATTAATGTATGAGCTTTTTCAAAATTCATTTGAATAGCCCCTATTTGTAATTTGTAGTATATAAGATAGGCATCCGACCCTACCTGTAATAATAAGAGGGTAATTTTTCAATTGTAAGTTAGTCCTATCGCAATATAAGGTTTCAAAACCTAATAAGAAAGTTTTTTTGGAAACTATCTTTTTATTTATAGACTTTAATGATTTTGCAATTTGCTAGTCTCCTTCATTTGCAAAAAAAAAATAGATTTCCTTTTCGGTTCTTTTCTATTCATTTTGGTCCTTTTCGGTCCTTTTCTGTTCTTTTCTGTAAGTCGTCGGACCCGTAGTTATAAGGATTTATGTTTTTAAATTTTGTTTATCATATATTTTCGATTCATTTTTTTTCGTTTAAGCCAAAATTGTAAAACCTTCATAAACAGTCCCACTTTGACATCTTATCAGAAATGATAAGACGTAACCCAAGCACATGAAGCCAAAATGGTTTATACAGATGTTGATGTGGGTAACGTATCTTTTGGGGTAAGGGCTTGGTCCATATCAAACCTTATCGTACGTGGATGTGTTGGTCAGACATATACATTTCCGCATGTTTATGATATCATGGTAACATAAATTTCTAAATTATATCGTCCTATTCATTTATCAGTGAATTAACATAACTTTCAAAGGAATTTTTGTAATCAAAGGGATTCAAATGATTGATTTCCTACTTATTTTTACGAATTTCGCGGTAGGTATGTTTTCGCGAAAATGAATACACTAGGACAGGTAAATAAAAAATCCAGATTACGTGCATATAAAAACCATAGAACAAATTCACCAAAAATATATACAACTGTACATTTAAAGGTAAGAAGATATGGTATGATTGCCAATGCGACAACTCTCCACAAGAGACCAAATGACACAGATCTGAACAACTATAGGTCACCGTACGGCCTTCAACAATGAGCAAAGCCCATACCGCATAGTCAGCTGGAAGCAAACATTTCCCTGTTTTTTCAGTATAATAAAACACTTATTTACTGGCTATTTGTTATTCGGATAATAGCAAGTTTATTGCCCCCCCCCTTTTCTACAATAACTATTTCCCTACTCTTCGCGATGATAATAAACTTGCTATTGTCCTAAGTGCCAGTAAATAAGTACATTGAAAAGACGACTGATTTGATGATCGAAAATCTTTGTTTGTTTTGTTAAACAATAAAAACCTTATTTATGAAAATTTACATATTTTAAGTCCGTTATTTATGTTGTGATAATTTCAGAAATATCGCGAAACTAAGTACAAGCGCATTCATCGGCAATGCACTATTCACGAAAAAAAAAAATAAGCAAAAAACGTACATAAAATTATACAGTAAATTAAATATTTTAAAAATTAGTAATCCTTAATTTACACAAAAGAAGCAGACATTTTGATGAAACACAATTAGAAAGAGGAACACAAATGCACTGATTTTCTTTGCTTTAATTGTTTCAAATAGTTGGCGGTGGGACATCCGGTTCTGTTTTGGCTTCTCGTTTGTCAGATGGTCCGGAATCCATTTTGTTGGTTGAAGCTGGAAGATCTGATTTAGAAAACGATAATGTTCCTGTCCCAGCGTATGCTGGAAATATTCAACAGACACAAGACGACTGGAACTATTTTTCCGTGCCTCAAGAAAGAACTGGACTTGCCATGGAAAATAGGGTAATAGAAAACAATATCAAACATTTTACTGAATCCCCAACCCCTTTTCCCTGAGCACATAATTATGATCAACCTCAATTTCTGGAGGGGTTCGTGTCTGTGTGGATTTTATTATTTTGCCATAATTATGAAGGTCTCTCTTATACTAATGACATAAAAACAAAGGATATGGGGTATCCATCCATGACACAAAATCAGTACACGCACAACAAATAACAACCAAAAAGCAAAGAAACAGCGCTTTTATCGTTCATCTCACAGTCACAGTGAGGCCTTCAACATGGAGCAAAATAGCTCTCACCTCACTCCAAGTTTAACATAGCCCCTAGCACCGCCTTGAGCGGAATTCTTTGCAAAATAATTTGGATAGACTTTGTAAGATGCTTTACCACCAAATCGGGCCAGGTAAAAAAAGAACATACAGAAAAATAATATATATTTAAAACAAAATAGTTCCTACGCATACGTGTGAATTCAAAACTAGGTAGAATCATTTTACCTGTTGTTATGAGACAACTAACCTCATGAGTTCAAATGAAGTGGATGTAAGCATAGACACAGACTTTTGCACTAATTACTGTAACTTATTTGTTTCTCATGAAATGTGTGTGCTATGTCTACTTTTCAATCATCTTGCGTGAAGTAAATTTTAAACTACATATAACAGACGGCACGAAAAAAATAGCACACAATTAAAAACACACCAAGAAATTGGGCATGTTGTACAAAATTAATACATCTTTAAAAGTTGAAATATTATCATTTACCTTCAACAAGTTTATCTAGCTTTACAATACACGTTAGTATAGATTTTTTGTTGTTGCGAACATGCAATGTTAAAAGTTTGATAAAACAGATATTAATCATTATGTTTTAGGATGGGGGAAGTTTGTTTATAAAAATATGGAGATGTGGTATGATTGCAAATTATACAGTTATCCAAATAATCAAATGAAGTAGATGTAAGCAATTATGGGCAACCGTACGGCCTTCAACAATGAGAAAAACCAACACCGGACAGTCAGCTATAAAAAGCTAAGACATCTAAATTATGAAACAATTCCATTGAGAAAATTAAAGGCCTATTAAAAAGTATTTCATGACAAACCATTTTACAAAACAAAAAGAAATATAAGAGACATGAATCAACAACAACCGCTGAACTACAGGCTCCTGACTTGTGACAGGCACATACAGAATGTGACGGGTTAAACATGTTTGAAGGCGCTAGCCTCCTGCTAATCTGGGACAATGGTGCAACGTTACAACACAAGATCAAACTATACAAGACAATAATCGAAATTACTCAATTATAGGCTCTTGACTTGGGACTAGCACATATAGGATATGGCGGGGTTGAATATGTTTGAAAGCGCCAACCCTCCCCATAACCTAGGACAGTGGTATAAGAGTACAACATAAGAACAAACTATAAAAATCAGTTGAAAAGGTCTTAACTCACCAAATCGATACAAAGCAGAAAAACATCTAACAAAAACATAGAACTGACATGGCAGGGTATTTAAACATTCCTCACAACACAAAAAACATAAAGTATAGATCTGAGAGTACTCACAGTTACTTACATCTAGTTCACAGCCAAAAACAACTTATGAAAAAAAGCATATACCAAAAAAGTATCTAAGACTAGATTTAAATTTGTCAGACCACCAAACAAACTTTCGATTAAACAGACAAAACACTAAGAAAAAACATATTGACTGTGATTGTTATTTACAATTTAAGCGTGAATATTGGCCACGTGGGAAAATACTTGGTGGTTGTAGTTCTACCGGATTTTCCAGTCATCACAGAGGATCTGTTATAGATTATGATGAATGGGCGGCTGAAGGAGCAACAGGCTGGAGTTACAGAGATGTTCTTCCCTATTTTCTGAAATCGGAGGATATGGAAATTCCAGAGTTAGCACAATCACGTATGTTTTAAAGGCGCATTACATTTGCGTAATTTGAGGATTAAGTTTTTTAAGTTTGCGCGCAAGTTTTTATTACATTTGCGCACTTTTTCTTATAGATGAACAGGTACAACTATGTTGATAATTAGTAATTTTTGTACATATTTATAATTTTGAACTATATATTTGGCAAATTGAATTCTAAAAAAAAACAATGTGATCATGTATTGAGAAAAACAGTAATCACTACAGGCAAACAAGTCATATGATTTAGTATATGTTAGAGAATAATCCATTTCTTCGTGATTACGTACGAGCGTTAGCGAGTACTTATCATGAAGAAAGGGATTATCATTCTCTTACAAATTGAAATATTGTAAAGTGACCACGGTTCAAATGATCTCTTGATTGGTTGTTTTGAAGAATTAGTTTCATTGTCAGTGCAATGTTTGTAAATAATGCATGACTTCCTTTTTTATGCATTTCATTTATCGATTTGTTTTTGCTCTTATCCATACACTTTCACTATATAACAGAGCCCGTGAATGATAATAGAAACTCTGGCACTACAGGATAGTGGTCTCTCAAGGACTACTAATATTTATTTTTTATTTCATAGATGCTCCAATACTTGCAATTTTTTCATATGTTATGTTTTTTTAATTCCATAATGACCGATTGTCGGAATCAAAAATATAAACGAACGTAGTCAAGATCCTGTAAATCAGAGGTCTCCCCTTAATACCATAATTTACAAGAAATTGAATCAAGCAACAATAATCTACGTTTATAAAAACATTAGTTATTATAAGTTTAAAATAACCCCAAAAAAATCTTTTAATTGAAAGGCAACATTACTTAATTGCATTTCTGAATCAGATTTTGCTGACTAGATTGAATATCTAGACATATTGTGGTCTCTTATTTTACAAATAAAGGTGGCGATAGACGCAAATACTACCATAATAAGTAAATGTCTGCAGATTTTTTTACAGCTTTCTGATTTTGTAAGTGAAACAAATACTTGTGAAATTAGTCCTGACCACTGAACTTTTTTCTGATCTCTTTTTTTACTAGGATTTGATGTTATAAAACTTGGACATATGCATGCTCATTCATGATTTTAACAATTATGAGACAAATTACAGATGATCACAATCGGTTAAATGTAAGCTGGAGAAGTTAACTTGTACGGATAAATAGTCGAAAATGTTTACCAACTAGGCCAGTGATTTCGAAAAATCACACAAAGCATTGACATTATATATAGTGTTCCTGCGATATAGCCTTTTTGTGTTGAGGTGGCGTAAATCAAATACTAATCAATCATCGTCTATAAATAGCATACGAAACATAAATTTTAAATTCTATATAACTGTCATACGAGTGAGAGGTTTACAAACAATGTAGTTAGCTATAAAACCAGGTTTAATCCATCATTGTCTACATGAGGAAATGCCTGTACCAAATCAGGAATATGACAGTTGTTTTCCATTCGTTTGATGTATTTGAGCTTTTGATTTTGCCATTTGACTTTCCGTTTTGAATTTTCCTTGGAGTTCGGTATTTTTGTTATTTAACTCTTTAAGGAAGAACTTGCATAATTCTATACTAAATTTTACTGAAAGAAATACCATAAAGTCAATGACCATACTCAAGCAGAATATGTTTTGTTGATATACATAGTAATTTAAAAGTTTCAAAAGCTGGTATAATTTGGCATACGTGGCTACAGATACTTTATGACCTTCAATATCTTATCCCATTCCCATTGATTTCTTAACAAAGAATGAAGGCAAGGAAATCATGTATACGTATTTCCTTTCATGTGTATGTTCACAAATATGTATTAATATCAAGAAAGAAGAAAAAGTAAGCATTTGTTCATTGTAAATTTCAAAGTATGTTAATTTCGACATATTAAATATTTGAAATGATTCTGGAAAAAAAATAAGATATAGAGTAAAAGAGAAAACAACCAGGCTCTTCAGCCTATAACCTGCAGCCTGTTACCCGTAACCTACAGACCCCATTCTTGAAATCTTAGCCTGCAAGCAATAGCTTGCAACCCGCAACCTGCAACCCATAACTTATTGATAATGCACTGAAAAGCAGTTTAATTTATGGACAAAACAAAAAATGTTATAAAAAACCTTGAAACTCTTTGATATTAAAATTCACGAGTTATTGAACTTACCTATTGGTTTTATAGATTTTTATCATATCATGATTTTTATTATGAGCAGCATTTCATTCGACTGGTGGACCACTGACCATAACGAATGGAGCCTCCACGCCAGTACAACAGTTTTTTGAAGCAGCTGCATCAGAATTGCAGTTTCCTAAAATAGACTGTAATGGACCAGACTCGATTGGTAGGTGTAATGAACCAGACTCAATAAATACTTGTATTTGTAGTTCCCAGACTTGATAAGTACTTGAATGTGTAATGGACCAGACTTTAAAAATGGATCATACTCGATATGTATGTGTAATCAACCAGACTCCAAAGGTATGTTAAATGGATCATACTCGATATGTATGCGTAACCAACCAGACTCCATAGGTATGTTAAATGGATCATACTCGATATGTATGTGTAATCAACCAGATTCCAATGGTATGTTAAATGGATCATATACTCGATATGTATGTGTAATCAACCAGACTCCATAGGTATGTTAAATGGATCATACTCGATATGTATGTGTAATCAACCAGACTCCAAAGGTATGTTAAATGGATCATACTCGATATGTATGTGTAACCAACCAGACTCCAAAGGTATGTTAAATGGATCATACTCGATATGTATGTGTAATCAACCAGACTCCATAGGTATGTTAAATGGATCATACTCGATATGCATGTGTAATCAACCAGACTCCAAAGGTTTGTTAAATGGATCATATACTCGATATGTATGTGTAATCAACCAGACTCCATAGGTATGTTAAATGGATCATACTCGATATGCATGTGTAATCAACCAGACTCCAAAGGTATGTTAAATGGATCATATACTCGATATGTATGTGTAATCAACCAGACTCTAAAGGTCTGTTAAATGGATCATACTCGATATGTATGTGTAACCAACCAGACTCCAAAGGTATGTTAAATGGATCATACTCGATATGTATGTGTAATCAACCAGACTCCAAAGGTATGTTAAATGGATCATACTCGATATGTATGTGTAATCAACCAGACTCCAAAGGTATGTTAAATGGATCATACTCGATATGCATGTGTAATCAATCAGACTCCATAGGTATGTTACATGGATCATACTCGATATGTATGTGTAATCAACCAGACTCCAAAGGTATGTTAAATGGATTTATACTCGATATGTATGTGTAATCAACCAGACGCCAAAGGTATGTATACTTGACCAATCTTAATAGACACATGTACTTGTAACTTAACTTAATCAGTATGTATATGTAATTGACCAGACTCGATAGGTATGTGTAGCTTACCAGTATCAATATGTATGTGTAATTGACCAGACTCGATATGCATATGTTATTGACCAGACTCGATATGTATGTATACCTTACCAGACTCGATATATATGTTTAATTGACAAGACCTGATATGCATGTGTAATTGACCAGACTCGATAGGTATATGTAATTGACCAAACTAGATAGGTACATGTATTTGTAATTGACCAGAATCAATATGTAAGTGTAATTGACAAGACCCGATAGGTATGTGTAATGTGTAATTGACAATACCCGATAGGTATGTGTAATGTGTAATTGACAAGACCCGATAGGTATGTGTAATGTGTAATTGACAAGACTCGATAGTAATATGTAACGGACATGACTGTATAGTAATGATATTTTGTACAGTTAAGGTTTATTTTTTATTTGTACTTATTAAACTTCATGGTCATATATTGATAAGTCAAAAATATGCCTGTTTCCTGGATAGGATAGCTAGATTGATAAAATAATGTAAATTTGTAAAAAAAAAATAAAAGAAATGTTCTGGGCTCTTATGATGCTTAGCCACAAATTCTGGGCAGCAGAGTTTAATAACGTTTCCATAAAGTGTATTAAGGTAGGCATACACTTTACGGTAGGCAGACAGACAGGAAACAGTACCATTTGTATGGCGTACGTTAGTATGGATAATATATATATATCGCTTGCAATGTTTTAATAACAAAATATGATCGTTCAATGGATCTGAAAATCTTTGCCGGAACCATAAATCACAATGGCAGCGTCATTCTGGTTTGTATCTAAGAAGACAATAACTAGTAAACCGTTTCTTGAGATGCGATTTTATTCTTAAGTCATATTGCATCTACGAAAATGAATTACACTTATATAAGGATAAACGAAAAAAGATTTCCGATAATATTATTTGCAAATCTGTACAAAACATACTTTCTTAAAAAGGTGCGTTGCATATACAATCGTGTGAAGGAGTTTTCGACTAATGAACTTAAACAAACAGGTTTCAGCACTGTAATAAAGTATGTCTCAATTAAGACTGTTTTATAAATCATATACACATACGTGTTTTATTTCAATGAAAGTCGACTGTTGCAAACAGCAATATCTAACTATTTACTTAATATGTAATTTAAAATTGATATTTAACTCTAACCAAATGACTGCAAGACGAAAAGAATGTTTAAAAGTCACTGCAAATATTGAAAAAAAATGACTAATGAGTTGTCCGTAGTCGTTCTTTCTTTATAAAAAAAAATAAAATAAAGAAGATACATATACCAAAGGAGACTATATAAAAAAAGACAACACTTCGACAAAAACACATATAAAATAACAAATGATTACACATACATCTATATTTATAAATAAAAACATTCAGTTTTAACTTTGTAGGATCTTGTCCCATGCAAAGTAACATAAAAGATGGTACAAGGTGTAGTAGTGTTAGCTGTTTTCTTAGAAGATACCTCGACCGTCCAAACCTTCAAGTTTCTGTACATACTCACGGTTCCAAGGTAATTCACAATGATAACAAGTTCTGTTAGCTGTTTTCTAAGAAGATCCCTCGACCGTCCACGCCTTCATGTTTCCGTATATACTTTCGGGATCATACATGTATGCGTATATTTACCGTCTAGGTCTACACGAAACAGTATAGATAAGGTAGACATTTTAACTATATTTGTCAAAACATAAAATGTATCTAATGCATTTGTAATCATCATATGTCACTTCCAGCAGCAATATCGACCCGGGGATAGAAAATGAAAATACCATTACTAATACTACTAAATAAAAGCTTATCAACACAACTACTGACTGAAAATAAAATAAAATCTCGATTTATCTTTCTTTGTGTTTCTTAATCTTCAATCATTTACATGTACGTAATCACATGTGGTACAGTTATGGTGGTCGATTTCAGATAGCTACACTCTTCGCAAACTTTAAGGGAAGGGGTCAAAATTTAAAATCACGATTTTAACAATTTTCCACATGGTCTTATTAAAAAATGCACACAACGCACACAATTGAGGAATGAATCTGATGTAATTATTGATAACATTTGACCAGAAATTAACATTTTCCCAAAAAGAATATTTAAAAAATTGGGATATGTTAGAACCTTTTTAACACCCAAATGTTTTATCATAACTTTTTTGTTTTCTTCTTCAGTCTATCCAACATCCTTTAAAACTAGAATGACGTTAAGAACACAGATTATGTTAACCATTGTCTACAACGACATGAGCTCTCAAAGTTTAATCCCCAGAAATCTAAATGGAAGCGTTACAAAACTTTCTTTAAGGTAGATCATAGGTATATATTTCCTAAGATAGAATTTTTTCATACTTTGCCAAAATAAAGATTTTTCTATGCTTTTTCCAAAAATATAAAAACAAGTATGGGTCACTGTGCTATTTTTCAAGCTACGGGTCGTACGAAATTGCACAAATTTGCTTAGATTGTTCATGAAAAAAAACATTTTTGTGAATAAAAAGAAATCTATGAGATAGAATTTTGAAATAAAATATGAGAAGATAGGTTTTATAATATGCTTTAAGAAAATAAAAATAAAAAATGGTGTCAGCGAACTTGTTTTCTTGCTACAAGTAAAAAATTAAAATTTCCCTATCAGTCCAGTATAAATTTTTTACTAAAAGAGTTATCTCCCCTTAAATGGCCAAGTTGAAAAAATGATTCTAAAAACATAATTATTTAGTATTTATTTAAACATTTTGAATAATGCAATAAATCACAAAGTTTTCTTTCATTAAATAAACAGTCTAACCTATAAATTGCCTATCTGTCTCGGAATTTGCGGATTTGGGCAAAGATCTAGACCGATTGTGTACTGCGATTGTACAATCCAAGATGGCGGTATACCATGAATCTACCTTAAATAGTATATGTCACTTCCATTTAACAATTTAGATTTTACACCAGAATGTTAAGGCAATTCAAGAAGCCTGGCTATCTACATTTTAGGTAATCATCCGAGACGGACGAGCTGTAGGTGTCGAAGTTATAAAGAATGAAAGACGGTTACAAATATTTGCTAACAAAGAGGTTATTTTATCTGCTGGAATTATCAATACGCCTCAAATACTAATGTTGTCCGGAATTGGACCAGCATGTCATTTGAGAAGGTTTGGGGTAAGTATTATGTACAGTTTTTTTTTTTGCTTTTTATGGCTATTGTATTTTAATTTAGTTTTAATGCTTAATATATTATTTACAAAGAATACAATAAACTGTTGACACTGAGATACATGTACATGTTTGTCTTACTGTGTACTATGTATGCAAATATTGAAACTTATTCAAAATTGGTGGATCATGGCGAAAGCTACGAGGCAAAATATATCCTTAGTCATATGTAATATGCCAATGCTATTAGATCTGCGTTTCATGTTCTTTGGATGTCTACTGACGGAAAGCCTAACAACGTAAGGCAATAGGTCTCAGAATGCATGTTTTGTTTTATCGGCTGGGTTTCTGTCTTCATAACACACACATATAAAGTGTTCATCAGTAGTATTTACATTCCTCCAAATCAAATGCAATGTACATGTACAAATATGTATCGTGTTGAGGGTGTAACGTTAGCGTTAGAATTTAGCGAATGGATTTTCTTTGGTATATTTCGTGTCACGTTAATGCAGGATATCCCCCGTGCAAATAGTTTTCTACACATCAACAATATTGATAGCGCGTCATAATAATGGAATATGAGGGTCTGTATGGGGTTCTTCATTTCTCTATTCTTTACATATTCTCCCATTATTTTCTATTCTTTGTTTCTTGGCCTATATTTTTCTCTATTCTTTATTTTTTTTGTCCGTTTATTCTGCTTTTTTGCCATTTATTCTATATTCTGTAAAACCTATCCAGATCCTCGTATATCACTCCAGGTATGATTAAATAATTTGTACTTTTTCAGATACCAGTGGAGTCAGACTTGCCAGTTGGGAATAATTTACAGGATCAACTAACGATTTTAATGCATTACACCATCGATACGAATATTACGTACTCGTCAGAAAGATTGAGCAGTCCTGCAAGTATCGCTGAATGGCTCGTATCGAAAACTGGTAATTTAATAAAAAAAAAAGGATAAATCAAGTGGGAATAAAACGGGACGGCAAAACTGTGCAAACGAACATACTCGCCTCCACTAACAAAAACAAATTGATCAAAACATAACGCGGGAATAAACTCAGGTGCTCTTGAATTAAAGAACTGTAACTTCTCCTTTATCTTCTTCTTCTTTGTGTAGATCCCTCTAGCGTTGAAGCACACACAGCTAGCTGTGTTCCCTTGGCGGATTAGTTTTTAAAAATGTTAACGTATTCATAAGTTGTTCCAAATTTAAAATGTTGAAAAGAAATCCTCCACCGGAACGTTGCACATGCACAAAATTTATTTACTTTCATCTTAGCCCACATGTTCATTGTGATGAAAATAGTTCAATGTATATGTCAAATTACCGTTTTGAACCTGATTTGACAATTCAGTAAACATAAATAAGAAGATGTGGTATGAGTGCCAATGAGACAACTCTCCATCCAAGTCACGATGTGTAAAAAGTAAACATAAAACAATTCAAATAGGAAAACCAACGGTCTAATCTATATATAAAAAAAAAACGGGAAACAAGAAACACTTATGAACCACACCAACAAACGACAACCACTGAACAACAGGCTCCTCACTTAGGACAGGTACATAAAATGCAGCGGGTTAAACGTTTTAACAGGCACCAACCTTCACCCTAACCTGAGACAGTAATAAAACATGGACATAAGTTACCGCGAGCGATGCGTGGTAACATAAAATGTACAATGGACACATGTTCTTGTTTCTAAATTTTCTCAATTGTCTTGCTACTGTCCAAATGAATATACAATGCAGAATTTCAAATACTCGCGAAGTGCTAGAGTTCTTTCTTTGTATAACACTGTTACTGGTTGTCATAATGTCATCATCTTTTTATCACAATATAGTGATAGCCTCTACAGTCTTTTTATGTAAATGTAGACTATTACTTTTAATCTTCATAAATGATGCCTCTTTGTGAAACAGTCTTATTTAGGATTTACGGGAAAATATGAGAAGGTACCAAGTAGGCAAACTTATAGTAAACATCAACAAAATAAACTGTTAACAATAAGATATGTTTAGAGGAAATGTATATATCACTGCAATTTATACCATATATTTACCTATTCATTTTTCTGTCGAAGCAATCAATGTCAGGAAGTTAAACTATGTTCTTTCTGAACTTGATGTTTAATTTGACAATATTCTGCAGGAATTCTATCTCGGGCTGGTGCAGATGGGACCTTGATGGCAAGAACAGGACCATCTCCAAATTTACCTTTGAACTATCCAGATATTTGGGTATTTGGTTTAAGCTATGCATCTGATAAAGAAAATGTCGAGAAAGGCTTCAAATTTAATTTCCGACCTGATGTGAGTACAAACTCGACTTTCACATTTTCATTAATGTAAAAATAAAACCGCGTGGTATTAACGTATAATTTTCTCACGTGAAATCGTTGTTTTAAAGTGTCTATAATCTCTAAACTAGCTTATAATCTCTAAAGTATTTCAATATATGTTCGTCTTTATGTTAAAAAGAATTACAGAATACAGAAATTAATTTGATGACCTAAAACAGACATTTTTTGTGAAACAGTATAAGAGTGACAAGGAAGCAACTAAGCATGCAATTGATTTTGGACATTAATACAGGAAGTTTTTGATTGAGGGTCCTTCAATTCTGTATTTTTTATGTTTTAGGACATTTTTATCTAGTATTTTTTATATTTTTTGCCCATTATTCTCTATTCTTTATATCTTATCACCTCACTATGCTGTATTCTTCATTTTGTTTGTCCATTTTTCTCTATTCTTTACATGTTTGCCTATTATTCTCTATTCTGAAAACCCCATCCACACTTTCATACAGAATCTACAATGTAAATGAGACCATTGCCGTTATACATGCCATCGTCTTATAACGCAATTAAAAAAATATAAGATACTATTACCATTCTTAGCAATAATTTTGAAGATGAAGGATTAGTATCAGCTAAATAAAAACAATAACATAAAATGATTCCACATGTTTACAAATACGAATAAGGTAGGGTAAAGCATGTAAAGGTCAGTGAAACAACACGCAAATGACACGTGGACGTTCGCACACAATCTTTAAAAAGTCACCAAAAGGTATCCACGGTCTTAATGGAGATACAAATTCTACACAATTAGCATGCCATAATCTTCATAACCCCGAGTTCAATAGACAAGTGCGGAATACATTTAATAGGAATTATCAAACCTTAAATAAAAACCAAATTTCTATAAACACAAAACACATAAAAATATTTTTTCTGCAGACCCTGCTGACGAAGATCCTGCCGTTGGACGGACACTCGAAGGAGTGGCGGTTATAAACACTATTCTTCTTACAAATTCTTCGAGAATGTACGATAACAATCCGTTATGGAAAAGCACTTAATAGTTTTATACCTTTGTAAAAGACATAGGCAAATAGACATCCAAAAATATAATAAATAATACCATAAAAAGATGCTTACAGTCAGTGAAAGAGAACAATCGCAGTACCTAACCTGTTGTAATTTGGCGGTTACCTTCATTCACTCCTATATAGGTGAATGTAATCCAGCAGCAGTATAAAAAGTATAGAAAGACGAACTATAGTACACATTTAAAGACATATGAAACTTCAAATTTGAAAACAAAGTCGAATATGTGTTATATACTTGAATGGCTAAGTTATACTAGAAAACAAGTTTACGTGAACTTTCTTGATAAACAAAATCCTATATAACTTCGTACTTTATTTGGGCTTTTTGACTTTGTTTTATTTGAGCGTCATTGGTGAGTCTTTTGTAGACGAAGCGCTCGTCTGGCGTACAAAATTCAATCCTGGTATCTATGATGAGTTTATTATATTATCAAGAACTTCATAAATGTACACTAATTCGCCGATATTTTCCCGTATGCAGTGACCTTAACTACGAGAACCCCAATTAGAAATTGGCTACCGCACAGCGCAAGTGCAAGGAAAAACCCGTGATAAAAGAACGCAAACAAACGTGCACTGAAATCTAAATAGTATTGTTCACCTTTGCCCTAAGCAGAACTATGGAAAAAGAGTACATTGACGGGTGTTACACAGACACTTTTTATGAAGTTACACGGACACTTTTTATGAATAGAGTTACTCGTGCATTCAATGAGTTCATAGGCACTTTTTCCTACATTTTAATTTGTGACGTAATTACCTGCTTTTGTATATACAATTTATATGAAAAGTGTTCATATAAATTATATTTATAAAAAAGCTAACTATGTCCCAAAATGCTGAAATTAAACAAAGGGTCTACGAAGTTACTGACTGCAAGAGTAACTGCAACCATAAAAATGTTTCCATGTAAACCGTAGCAGTTTAGGTTCATCAAAAGGAATTGAAAAATATGGCAGTGTTTACACTTCAAAATCTACTATGAGTACAGACACATTAATGCATCTAGGAAAATTTTAAGGCATGGCAGGACCTAGATATGTAAAATTATATGTAGTCGATTTTTCAGAAAATTAAAAACTTACCTGGATTTTGATGTGCATTTCTTCCAGTCTGCAGAAGATAGCAAAATAAAGAAACACGCGAGCGTCATTTGATACGGTCAACTCAGTTACACAGTATAAATCACCTATTGTTTGCAGACTGTCCATTTAAATCAATACTACTCACAACATTTATCATATGAGGGGAGCTCCTCAAACCTTTTTCCCAACTTAGTTTATTTTGGCACCTTCTGCAGGAATGAAAAAAAAAGAATAGAAAATCAAAAAAAGTTTTCAATTTTCTGAAACATAATATGCATTTAAGATTTAGTTTTTTAGTTCCTGCCATGCCTTAAAACTTTTCCAGGTGCACTGATTTGTCTGTACTCAGAGTAAAATTTGTGGTGTAAATACGGCCATATTATCCAAAGGGTTATGTTGAACCTTAAGCTAAAATCTTTCGAATCTTCTAAATTGAAATATACCGAGGATTTTCCATTTTCTCTTCGTGTTGAAGGAATTTGTTTAAGTCGAATTGTGATAGCGCAAAATCAGTCTCAACGTCAAATAAACTACCGCCCATTTTGGACATTGGGTTGAAAAATGAAACAAATAGTATGTCACGTGATCAGTACTTGGGTCTACTCGAATATCACATTACTGCAATGAGCACGAAAATAAAATGAAAACTTGATTTCCAAATTATGTGTATCAAAAAATTTAAAACGTGACAAAATCAAATGTTATGTTATTCACAATAAAAAAAAAAAAAGAGAAGAGAAACAGCATTTTTTTTATATTTATATTTTTTGTTTATCATTTTATTGATTTCGTATTTATACATGTTGTATTAACGTTTATCTGATTGCTCTTTCTTTTTTCATTTCCATAAGTCATTGCATTTTTAAATGTCTGAAATCTGTTATTCACATTTTGTTGTTTATTTTGTTTGTTTTTATTGACTTTGGGGGGAGGGAGGTTATGGGTAGGAAAAGGGGCCAATTGACCCGAACCCCTCCTACACACACACACACACACATTCAAAATGGGGGAGGGAGGGGGCAAACCATATTTCTTTGTTTGTTTTTGTTTGTACGTATGTATTATTAACGAAAATACAATTAAAGGTTTCTTTTTTTGCCTGTCACTTTCGGAAGTCCCCCCCCCCCCCCCCCCCCCCCTCAACTTTTCAATCTTCTCCTATGTCACTGATATGTATCAAAGAGATAAACAATAATTTTACCCCCACACAACTATAAGAATTGAGACGTACTAGTGTTAACGCAAAGTCCCTTAGGTATTAAGGACTAAATATCTCCACACATCGTAGTAAATAAACCGGTATGGAATTTGTTTTGTGTTCAATCCTTTTAATTATGCAATCGTCCTATAGATGCAAAAATGTATTACTTTCTAATTAAACACGTCGTACGAGTCTGATACAAAACAAAAATAACAAAAGAACGAGATGGTAGCAACCAGTCGTACAGTTTTTCTGCACTTGTATCTAATACATAATTGATTCTTACAGGTTAACTTAGATGCACCAAATCATTGAACCGTTATCAAAGAAAAGTTTGATTAACAAACGGGGACGCATGTTAACTATAAAAAAACAATATCATTTCTTTCAAATCACTTATTTTTCGCGTGCTCTGTGTTGATCTGTATCAATGTCACGATCCTGTAAGCCTCTGCAACAAATTCGATAGTTAAGAAGCTTGCGATCATCAATCACTTAATGAAATTTTATTTGTCGATAATATGATAAGATTCGTAATAAATACAAAAAAAAAAACATACATACAAGTCAGACTTAGTTTAGTATATATGCATGCATTGGTTCAATGATTTCTATAACAGTAGAATTACATGAAAACTCGTTTCAAATGACTTTAAACATGATATAAACAATATAAATGAAATCTAACAAAGTTGTTTGATGCAAAATACTGGAGGCATTTATTTGATAACACCACAGGACAGTTGTAGAATGTCTCTACTGATCTTTGTTTGAGTGACGTCATGTAGCAACAAAGACAACAAATTAACAGTAAATCAAATAGATTTATTTTTGCAAAATGGATCCAGCATTTAACAAAAAGTTACCCTGCATGTGAGAATAGCTTATTTTGGTTAGACATTGCCATAGTGACCCTATTACATCAATATCAAAATGCTATCTGATTTTAAAGTTAACAATTTTAAATGCACTGATGTATTTTTAGGTAATTAGAAATCAAGTGCAAAATGCCGATTCATCTGGTTTCAACCTGTTTCCATTACTCGTGCGACCTGAAAGTAAAGGCACTATTCGCTTAAGTTCAACCAATCCACGGGCAGCACCACTAATCAACCCTAATCACTTAGCAACAACTAATGACGTCGATACAATGTTACGAGGTAAAGAGTGGTTTATTCCAAGACTATTTTTACAGTTAGTTTCGCTTTATTTCACAAACACTCATCTATAGCAGCTATCACATACTGATCACTTGTATGAAATTAAAAAAGATGTTGTATGATGGCCAATAAGACAGTTCTGTGTAGAGAATGTCAGGCGTTTCACACATCAACTGTTAGGGGATGACTCTACGACATATTATTTTTAGTTTTTAGCCAGAGTAGAAAGTCTCAAATAGATCAAATGTTTTTTTGTTATTATCCTGCATACACATAAAATATTAACGTTCAAGTGTACTTCTTCGCCATTTGGTCTCTAATTGAGTCTCAAAACTTCCTTAAATTTACAATACAGCCAAAAAAAAATGTAATTATATAAAAAATTATTTTTGTCAAGTTGAATACTGATCTTATATATAAACTAAACAAATAATCCCCCCAAATATTTAAATAGAAAAGAAAAGATATGGGGTACTCATTCATAACACAAAATCAGTAGGCACACAGCAAAAATCACAAAAAGCAAAGGAATAGCACTTTAATTGCTCTTCTTCATCTGACTTTTTTATGGCCCCGCAACAAAGTTGTGGGAGCCATATAGTTTACCCTTATCCGTCATTCTGCAACGAACAGTTATACAAACTTTTTTTTTAAACGCCTTCACATATTGAGCTAATTTTTTAGTATGTGAGTCTACTATGATGTGTTACAGATCGAGTTTACGTTTGGTTCCGTTTCGCTGATTTTTGCGAAAATAACGGGCTTTGAACTTTGAAAATTTAATGGAAATAGCATTTATGCGGACTTTTGTTTTTGTTCTAAATGCCTTCACATATTGAGCTGATTTTTAGTATGCGAGTCTAATATGATTAGGTACACATTGAGTTAACGTTTGGTTCCGCATTGCTGATTTTTTCCGAAATTATGGACTTTGCACTTTGAAAATTTCTTGAATTAACAGTTATACAGACTTACTCATACCACATCTTCTTATATCTATTTCATTTTCAAATTTCCACTCTTAAAAATAGCTTCAATTTTTAATGGCAAGCGGTGTCATTTTTGACGTTCCGACACATCTTATTGTTTGTATAACTTCAGGAATAAGACTTATACAGAGACTTGTAGCTACTCAATCATTTGGAAGGATCATGCCAAGATTTGTACGAAGAGACTTCGGAGGTATATGCCAACAACGATTTGATACTGATGAGTACTGGAGATGTATGTTGCATCATTTTAGTCATCATATCTATCATGCTTGCTGTACCAACAGGATGGGAAATAGAAATGACCCCTCTGCCGTAGTTGATCCTGAATTGAGGTAATATTTCAATCCTACCTTTATCGATTCGTGAACAATATCATTTCGATAATGAAGATATGTCTTTGGTTTAATTGCACAGAAATTAATTAAATAAAAGATCAATATTTGAGTGCGTGCTTCATGTGTTTGAACAGCCTTCATCAAAGACACAAAGATCGGGACAAATAAATAAAAAAAAACGAATTTCGATGAAGAATGGTTATCTATAGATTTAATTACACACCATTGGTACAATTATTGTTTCACAAAGATTGTGAAACGTGATAGGCAAGTGGTGAAAATAAATGAAAGTATACATATTCTTAAGTAATGTCTTAATTTAAATCCATGAACAAACGCAATAGTTATGCTTTCTTCATGGATTTAAATGGTATATGATATAATCAAATTTGAGCAAAACTCATAGGAAAATCAGGGCCTAAAAGATTACTAATGTTAAACAATTCAATCTTAAATCAATGAACGAAAATGAGTGCGACAGATAGCAAGCGATCATAGACATATTAATTTCTTTTATTGCAAGGTGTCTTGATATGAGATTATTTAGATACAAGACTTCGTACATTTGATGTATACTAATAAGCCTTACATGTAGCATTGAGACATCTCAAATAGAATTCATATCATAATTGAGTCATAATAGTTTAACATATTGATTAGCTATGATCTTAACATTAAACTAAATATTGTAACCAATGTTAAGATTAATACATGTTCCTGTAAAAGTACAACTGTAAAATTTGAAATTAAGATTGTAGTCTGTTTATATCTTAGGGTGAAAGGAATACAGAATTTACGTGTTGTTGACGCATCTGTGATGAGGAATCAGATTGCTGGCGATCCTCATGCTCCAGCTATAATGATAGCAGAAAAAGCAGCTGACATGATCAGAGGAGTAGATACTGTTGGTAAATGGAGACGTCAAGTGGACAGTGCGATCTCAGGTCGTATATCCAAATAAGATAGACGCTATCAATAGGTAAAAGGCAACTGTCAATATCATGGGAATCGACACCTCAATAAAACTAATGTCTGTAATAAACTTCTCAAACGAGATCAGCTTGTCTTTATGCATTTCTTTTTTAAATCACTATTATTTGTATCATTGCCTATTTCTGCAACACATATATCTATTGAAATATCATAAGAAATAAAATAAAGTACAGAGATCACGTTTCGAATTGTTATTTTTACGTTATTTACTTTCCTTCTTTACTGAATTTGATTACAAGGGACGATGAAAGAGCTATTCCATCCAACGCAATATGCCACTGATTCATTTCTCTAATTGATATACATATTATCGATTATTTGTATAACAGAATTTTGCATCTTAAAAATGATATGCTGAAATGACGCGAGGTCAATTTCCTCTATATGTGTTTCCCTGACGATGTCAAAATCTAAAAATAAATCCATAAAATCAAACTGCGCCACATGCTACTGTTGAAGGCATTCTGATACAGACTTGCAAATTGTAGATATCCTGTATTATGTTCAAGTATAATCGTATTTGGTCGAGATTAGCTGTATTGGTTTAATGTCCACCCTTCGACAATCCGTAATTGCATATACTGAAAGAAAAACATATTATAACATATAAAAAATTACAACAACTTTAACATCAAATCTTGTATTTCGCGTAAATTACACACATTCATTTTCTGACACCTTTTTGAACCAGAAACCGGAAGTTAAAATCATATATTAAGGCCAATAAAAGTTCTGTATCAACCGGTTTTTCTGTAAATAAACTAATCATAGATACCAAGATCAGACGCGTGTTAATGACTAGTTCTCAGACACATGGAATTGTATTAAATGGATAATTTATAATGTATTATAAGTCATTGATTAGGTATATGTAATAGAATGGTAATGAAGTGTACAATCCTCTGAGGAAATATGCATAGAAAAAGAGCGTAATGGTTAAACATGCAAGAGAATAGAATCATAAGCAAACCGTTTGAATAACGCAAATGTTTATAATGGTACATGAATTAAACAAACAAACAAAAAACAAAAACAAAAACAAAAACAAAAAAGAAGGGCAAAGGTGTAGGTAAATTAATATGTAATCTAATTTTTATACCAGGCCTTTGTATCAATGTTTTTTTCAAAGTAAACAAAAATTAATAATATAAAAAGTAAAGGAACTTTTTTTCGAGGAAAACAAAACTAATACATGTACACTTATCAATAAAAAGTAAGCAGCTAATGTTGAATGATCGTAATCTTAATATTTATTGAGTGAGTTATATAATTATAAACAAATATACAAATTTCAAAAAGCTGATTTATGTAACATTGTGAGCTTTATAAAATTAAGAAATTCAAGATGTTTAGTATTAGATTTTACCTACAGCAGAGAAAAACTCAATTTTTGAACTTTTTATCATTTTTGTCTTTACAAAACTATCTCAGTGCTATTTCATTCCATCCATTGGAATGACCATTAATTATGATATACATTCATTTTATCAACCATGCTAACAATTAATTATAAAAAGCGAATTCATATTAAAATATGATTATTACAACGGAAAAGGATAATTCTTTAATATCACTCGAAATTTGAATATGTGTTAAATTGGTCAGACAATACATGGTCATGTTTTATGAACATTTAAAACTCTCGGCTACGCCTCGGGCTTGAAATATTTCATAAAACATGTCCAAGTATTGTCTAACCTATACGTACAAACTTAGCATATTTTAAAATGGACAAGGCTCAAATGATCTCTTGATTGATTGTTTTCAAGGAATGGTTGCATTGTCAGTGCAATGTTTGAAATTAATGCATGACTTCCTCTTTAGGCATTTCAATTATGGATATGTTTTAGTAATGTAAGGACTTGAAGTCTCTTATAATTTTGGAAAAAATAATAAATTGTGTTTTAGACATTAGATTACTATACCATTGGATAGAAAGACATTAGATTACTATACCATTGGATAGCAAGACATTAGATTACTATACCATTAGATAGCAGTAAAATGGTAGAAATTGAACACGATTATTTCACAGCCGATATTTTCTTCTAGCTCATTGCATTAAATACTACTTCATTATGTCAGGATAATGTTCAAATAAAATGCCTTTAAATGATTTAAATATATTCTAAAGTTAAATTGTCAGAAAATTATTCTTATCAACCGTGGATCCTGTAATCTGAGTTTCAGTAAGTTTACTAGCTTAAGATGAGATCATATTTAATTTTTTTTTTCTTTTTTGCATTACATTGATGTTGCAATTTTTTTTTTAAGTAATTTGACTTTATTAATTATAGTCTCATAATAACATTATCGGTACCAATTCTACTGCACTAGTAAACTTCAACTTATTTTGATTTTTTGTTTGTTTCAAAATTCAACTTTTAGTCAGTTTCAATCACTAATTCTTTCAATCTGATAAATGTGCTTCAGGGTAGTTGTAACTCATTTATAGATACTCTTTATTTTGAACTGTAAATAGGCCTAAACAATAGGATAATCCCCCAATATTAACATTATTTACATTCATTCTTCTACATTATTTAATTATGGTCGAGAGCTCCTTACTATATTCTAATAACTGTTAAACATGCATGCTGCAAACCATAAGAAACCATAAGAAACCTGTCACCATGACCGTAGAGAAATATCTACAAACAACTAAAGATATTTCTGTAAAAATTATTTTGAATGGAAAACTAACTTTGTATAAATGACAGAAAAGTCGCAAATATCATAAATTAAATGTATCAATATATACAAATTAGATAATGTAATTGTATGGCAATCAGACAATTCAATTAATTTACCAACAACCAAAGAACAAGGAGGTGAAAAAAAAACTAAAGAAAAGAACATTTTATAACGGTCTGAAGCTTTTTTTGGGATTACAACAGGTCAACGTTGTATACACTAATGATCCGTTATGCAATAAACAATTGGATTTTAGTTTTAAATCATCAAGGAAACCTAATATAAGCCTTCAAAGAGGGGTTCCTAAACTAGCTACGTGGGACATCAGATTAACCGTCTCATTCAAGTCATTTTAATTTTAAGTCAAGGACTGAAGCCGATCTTGTTTGATGATTTATGAACAAGCAAACATAAAAATAACGTATAAGTTCCTGGCATTGATAGATACATGAACAACTTTACCTGATCTGTAACAAACAAATATGGTTGTCTTTTTACGTATTCCAATTTGGAATGTCGTTTATGTGAAGAAAACAAAACAGTCAGAGAAGTACATATTTTACATTTAAAAATCAATATCTATATGATTTTCACACAAGTTATATATAAAATCTGGTTAAACACCAATATGAAGAAAAACATATAATAAAACGAAGTTTAACCAACTTGAAGTGTGAACTTGTTTCCATAAAATAGGTCCAACGTTAGTTTATTTTCATGTAAACAAAAGCAGCTTTGAAAATGCGTTGAAATGTTGTTTAGATGACTACAAAATTTAAGAAGATTTCATTAGGTCACTATATGTCATGGCATATTATTTTACTTCGATCAAACTACATACTAATTTCGAATTTCTGCCAATCAAGGAACACCACCAAACACTCGGAGGATACTGTCAATCCATATTATCAATATGTTAAACAACTATCACCACTTGATATATATATATACATAAACAAGTTTTTACCAGCATTATTATAAATAAACTCGCGAATATATGTTTTCCTCAAAAGATGATAAACTGTAAAAGATCAACTGGTAAGGATGTATTGGATTTTGGTAAAACTTGACTTCCCATTATTATGTGTGTAAGCATTGATTGTTATTAGCGTTGAAATAATCTATAACCTTACAAAATTTTTGCCGGAGTAACAAGTCATTGTATGACACAAGGAATGTAAGATTGATGAAAACTAACTAGAAATAATTTGATTATAACCATAGGGAGATATGGTATGACTGCCCATTAAAAACTATCCACCAGAGACCAAAATAAATCAACGATAGGGCACTGCACGGCCTTCAACAATAACCGTCTTCTTTATTATGTTTGATGCTTTAATACAATTTACTATGTAACAAGTTATTTCCTCGTAGACCTAAATTATGATTTTTTATATCAGAAAGCAAAGCAATAAATGCGCATTTAACTATACCAATAAGATCTGACAATATAGCTATAGATTGATGAATATTGTTATCTCTGAAATGTTGTATAACCAATTATTTATGTACACAATCAATTTAATGATGAACCCGTTGGAATAAAAAGAACTAATGCTCAATCCGTGTTGTGCCAATACATTAATTTACAGAAGATCTTTTTACATATAAAAAGGGTGTTAAACAACAAATTCATTGGTTAAAATTGTTGCTTTTTATTTACTTTCGGATAAATTTCCCTCCCGTATTTTAAGATTAACGAAAGTGGCTACTTGAATGAATCCCTAATATAAATTGAAATTGAAGTAACGGCATTATAGTATACTGTGAAAGTACTTTTATTCGTGGGTTACCAATTTTCGTGGTTTTCATGGATGGCTTTATTTACGAGTTTAAGTGTCCAACGAAATATAACAAGTGTTGTCCAAATCAATACATGGAAAGATCCCCAGTAGGTTTGACTACATAAACACGGGCATAAAGTTTAGAGAAAACATCGAATATCAGCAAACGCTCTATGAACTTTATGCAGTGGCGTAGTACAAGTTTAGCATATACAACTTCAGAGACAGGATTTTAATCTAAAAAAAAAAATTGTACGACTTTTAACCTTTTAATTCTCATGAAAATTAATTTTGAAAGATGAAAGTCAAACTTCTAGTGTTGATATAGGATGATGGAATGTTCATTTTATCTCCTCATTATTCTCTCATGAAAAAAAAAAATAATTTCAGATTGGGCTTCCTTTATTGTTTCATAAGTATTTTTTCATAAGTATAAATTCAAAGTACATTTGCAGCACTTTTTATGCAACACTTTTCATTAAATGACATGTTTATGGCCCAATTAACACATTTTATGATAGTTAATCAGCTGATCATTCGATCGTGGATTAATTAATGTCACTAAATGTGATTACACGTGTGCAAAAATTAGAATATTTGCTTTGCAATTTCCTTCAATCGAGATAATTTGTATTCAGAGATGAATCAGCTTAGTTCTGAAAGCAATTATTTTATTAAAAAATTGATGAATGTTGTCAG